TATTATATACGTGCTCGACGCAATAACTTTTACCTGCCTGTTCACTGCTGACTGACAGTGAGTTTGATTGCTGGTGGGCTCGTGTGACCTCTGCCCTCTTTGCGGCTGTCGCAAGTCAGCGTACTGACTCGCCTGCCCCTCGTCGACTGACGGAGTAATCAGTTTTTGCTGCCCGCGTGAGATGATGTCAACCTCGTGGGCGCGGCGGTGACGTGGTGTTCCACGCTGGTCATGTAGTTCCTTGCCGGCTCTTCCCTTATTTTCCTCTGACGCTAGTTGTATTCCACGCTCGAGTTTGCTTTGTCTTCCTGTTTGCCTTGCTCGAACTGACTCGAGCATTGTGCGTAACGCCCGGTAGGCGGGATGAAGTTCTATGGTTCTGTTAAGTGTGCCAGTCGAAGACCGAATTTCCAGCAGGAATCTAGCCATTTTATCATTGACTCGGGCTATTACCCTTGCTTTGTCAAAGGCGAAAACGTGATTCTTCTGCTGCTCGTAGTCATAGACCATAGACAGCTTATTCTTGCGGTTGATTGCCTGTTGATGCTCATGCAGTCTTGTGTCAAGGCGTCTGCGCGTTTCATCAACATACCATGCATCGCAGTCTTGGAATGGTATGCTGTAGACCACAGCTGATCTGTCAATGGTAGCGGGTATTTGGGCCTCATGATTTGCTGTCTGATGGTTGACTCCGGCTTATGAGCCAATTCGATCTCGAATAGTTGCAGGATTCTTACAGCCGCCTCTTATACATTCTTCACTTAAGGGATTGCGAGCCAGAACTTGGGGTCCCCTCCTTTCGACCGCTCAAGTTAGGGCTTCCGAACACACTTACGTACAAAGTACTTTTGATAACCTTTGGCCCGAAATAGGGCATTCAAGCACTTTATCTCCTACCTTTTCCCACTTTCGTCGCTGTAGTGTGTCTGAACGCGTTTGAAGAGGGTTCTAACACAATTGCGTTCGTGCCCAACGGTGTGGTTGCTTCTGAAGTGGGGGGATGCGCATGGTATTGGTTGCTTTGCGGTAGACCCTTGTCCTTATCTTCACGTCTTTCAGCTTCGTCACTTGTATGTCAAGGAAGGGTAACTGATTGTTGACCTCCTCTTTCATGGTGAACTAGATTTCAGGAAAGATGGAATTCAGCAGTGCCTTGAAAGCCTGCACTTTTCTCCTTTTGACAACGATGAAGTTCTGGGCCAGATACATCGAATACACTTTCGTCGTCATAAAAAGGAGAAAAGTGCAGGATTTAAAGGCACCGAAATACCAACATGCCGTGCCTTAAAAAGTTGTGTCTGTTGAAGTTAATAGTGTGTGGAGCAAAGTTGAGATTGTTTAAGTTCAGCAATGATACCCATGTAATCATTCAGGAAGTCAAGTTGGGCGAACGAACTTTTTCGATGAATTCATCATCAGAAGAATGGAATAATATATAGGGCGGGTAGAGTTAACGAAATTTTTAAGCAAACCAATCAGTAATAACAGGGGAGAGAGGTGTAAAGGGATCAAAAGGGTTAGATTGTAGCCTTGATTGGGGACCAGAGAAAGGAGGTGGGGGGAGGGGAAGGGGTCCGAAAATTATTTCATGTCGCCCCGTCGTCCTCATCTTGAATTTTGTTGGGAGGTGTGAGGACGCAAGATGTCAACGTTTTGTGACGGCGTCGGTGGCCTGGGGACGCTTGATGCCACAACTCATCCCTGTTTCGCGGCGTGGTAAGAGGCGTGGGGGCGGATATTGAAATGGCCTTCGGCCACGGGAGCCTTAAGGCCGCTAAAAACGCTTTCTGCGCACAAAAGATTGGGTTAGTGAGGCGTATGGCGACTGCCTCTGTCGTCGCAAGTATCCGCTGATGCAGGAACTCTGAATGTTTAGCTGGCACTTTATAGATGACTCTGAACGATTGGTTGACATCTAGCCGATGATCGCTGTCTGCCAAGTGAGCCAAAATTTCGCTTGATATCGACTTTACTTCGCTTCTGTTAAGCCAAGCAGGGTGGTGCTCTCACATGCGCTTGGATAGCCGCCTAATCGCTCGGCCAATGTAACCCGCTCCACAGGACCATATAAAATTGTTAATACACACTGAAGAAGTCTGGAACGGCAGTATATCCTTGCCTTCAAGGCGAAGAAGTGGAGTGTTTGAGAACATTAACCTTAGATTGGCTGCTCCCTTATATTACTGTATTGCCTGAGGATGAATAAATCGAAAACATTCATTCGCCTAACTTGAGTTCCTGAAAGTTGAGATTTTTCATGCTCACAGACCTGCCAAGCACTGCATCCTAGAACCAAATTTCCATCGAGCAGCAAACTGATGTAATTTACCGGATAAACTGCAAATGTGGTCGAGCCAATTTTTGTTAACGAAACCAATAAAAAGATTCTCGCGAAACTTTATCTGACGTAAGGAAGACATTTCCTTGGTAGCTGACCACGCATCCTCGCCAAGGCACAGCTTTGAATTTGATTAGGTGGAAATCCTGGGTCAGATCGGGCGACCGAATTTGAAGCCTGCTGCAGGAAAACATGGCACTCGACCTAGGATTTAAGATTGAAATTAGTGGCGCAGCCGCAGGTATTTATCGGAAGGGGAGAGATAAATATGTAATGAATTCTACAGTTCTTTATCGCTTGACGATGGGCTCGCGTGAGGTTTCGAAACATCCGATGAATGAACAGCCGGCGTTCGCGTACATAGTCCAAACTATACATTTGTGGGAGGAAGATTACCTTTGTGTACACAGATGTTCTCACGTGCAATTTCAGCCTAAATACTCCATAATTTAAAATTCATAACCTCCAGAGAATACCACAGTCTCAGGTTAATTATATGTCTTGGACGTGGTCATTTTGTGCAATCAACGGTAACTTTTATAGATGTAAATATCCTAAGCACTGTATGGAACAGTTTGACGATCGACATTGTTTTCCAGATTCCTGTCATGGTCGTAGTGATAGGCATCTAAATGATCCGACACGTAAAGGATCGAGGCAGATATGGAAAAAAACGTCCGGCTGGAGGGTTTCTATGTCTAAGCAATAACAGTTGAGGATCAGGATAAATAGTACAGGACTCAGGAACCATCTAAACCAGTACTGACACTTGCCCCAGCAGAAAAATATAGCATGCACTTATCTTTGCTCGAGTAGATCTATTGTCACCAGCTCGAAAATTCACAAATAAAATTCCATTTCCGACGAGCCTTCTTTCTACAGTAGTCAAGTACTGTTTATATATATTCCTGCACATTAATATTGAAATAGACAAATTTGAAGGCCCCCACTTTTTAAAGATGCATGTGCCGAATATTTCCACTGGTATTGTTATACTGGAACGTTTGGAAGAAGAGGCCTGCTTTTAAGCAAAAATTAGTATTCGCACTTCAGTATTTAGCCGTTCCCTCTAAGAAGATTAGCAGGGACATGTAATTATCGTTACAACTCCTGTTCCCATGAATATCGCCAGCATTGCCATGCAGAAATACTATCATTGCCCTGCCATTGACATCAGTTTCGTCAGTCATATCATTAATGAGACAAATTGCACAGAAGACTTCTTTCACTTAAGCATTAAAACTGCTGTCATCGTCATAGTTTTCTCTACCGTATCGAGTTCCAATTTAATCATCATAAATGTCGTTATCATTCTAGACATTATAATGATCATACTCTTCATTATTGATATGATTATAATAATTGCCACCATTCATATGAAAGTCCAGCTATTACCCCATAATCTTCGTCACGGTTGATGTCAGGCTATTTATTACGATCCTTACCCCCTTATTATTATTATAATCACTGGCAAATGGTGATCAGTATTATCACTATCAAGAGTTCCAGCATCATCCCTATTGCTCATACGGAAGCTGCCAAAACAGACCCCATTCACCACACCCAGCATAATCATAATCATCACCACCACCACCACCACCACCACCACCACCACCACCACCACCAGAGGCTAGAGGCTAGTAATGTAGACAGGTGACTATAGTAATCATAATAATGATCGATACCGTCATTACTACTACCAAAAAGATCTCAACAGCCACCTTTGCCTGCTGCAAAACCAGTCTATCAGTAAGAACACTGCCACCTATAAGAATGTTGTTATTTTCGTTATCATCCTAGCCGCAAGCATCATAATTATCGTCATCGACGTAATTGTAATCACAGTCACCGTTCTCACCGTATTCTTAGGATTAATGACGTGCTTACTTTCACCGTCATCAGCGTGTTTTCAGTAAGCTCGTCATCGGACATTATTCTCATCACGATCATTACAATAGTCACCTATCGAAACATCGACAGTGTCGTTACTACCATCATTATTGTTACTATCGCGTTCAAGGCGATTGCCATGTACCACGTCGCCACCATCCTCACCGCCAATCACGTGGTCATCTTCATTTTATTAAACATTAGCAACATCGTCACCGTTTCCGTGGCACGAGTGCCCTGAATAATTATCAACAACACGGGCATTGCGTCATAATTAGGGTAATGCTTCTAAATGTCTTTACCGTAGCGAGTAGGACCTAAATCAGTCACATGAGCACCTAGGTGCTGTAATCTTCTCTACTTCATAAAACCTGTCTGATTTACGTAATCATTTACCGGCACGCTATTATCATCAACCATATGTCACCACAGAGGACGTTGACGTCACCATCGCTGCCAGCAGCAGCATATTCATTAACCGTATTAACCTCGTCATCACCTTCAGGCCACTTGCGCCATCACTTTCATGGGCATTCTGATTATCTTCAACTGGTTGCACGTCTGTGAACGTCTTCATGTGCATGCCTTCGTATCCATGAGATCTTAATAATTACCATCACTGACACTGCCCTCAGTATCAGCAACACAGTTAATACCATCGTAGTTATAGCGAGGTGAATGCTGATAATCATTAGCCCTAAGATAATTGTCAACAACGGCGCCAGTTCCGCTAACCTTTTTTCGTCTATTGCCCTTTAACCGGTTACCAGGAGAGGGGGGTGGAGTTTGATCATAATTCTGGCCGACCGTTTGATCCACACGAGAGAGTGGGTCAGCCATGATACTAAAGACACCTTAAGGGATGACGGAAAGTGTGCACCTTGCTTGCGTCAGTATTTCACGTTAAATGTAATTACGCGATAGAAGCGAACAGGCGAGTTTGGATGGAGAAGATGCGATCGTTGGCACAAGAAGTTTAGTGGCCTGACGTTTTGGA